GTGTGTGTGTGTGTGTGTGTGTGTGTGTGTGTGTTTGTCAGTCAGGCCGGTCGGAGTCGCAGTGCCACCATCATTACTGCTTATATAATGAAGAGATACCAGCTGGGATTCACTGAGGCTTACCACAGACTGAAGACCGTCAAACAGGACGTACAGTAAGTGTGTGTGTGTTCCTGTTCCTGCACTGCTTCTTGAATCTCTTATTTGATTCGATGACGGGCTAAAATGCCTGAAAGTGTGTCTGTAGTGTGTGTTTCTACTGTTTTAACTTGATCTGCATCTCTATCTGGATTTTGTATGTACCTGTGAATTGGGTGTACTGACCCTTTCAGAGTACTTTGTCAGAATGGATGTCCTTATCAGATGCAGGAGAGATGATTGATAGCCGGTGGGTGTGTTTCAGGGTCAACCTTGGTTTTGAGGAGCAGTTGTGTCTGTACGAGGCCCTGCTGTGTGAAGTGGACACCTCCAGTCCTCTGTACAAACAGTACAGACTGACCAAGGTCATGGAGAAGTACCCTGGTAACCACATACACACACCAAATCCTTTAGTTTGATTCAAACGTGGCAGCTATGTAGCCAACGCACTCTTTTCTTACATGGATTCATTATTTGGGTTTTGATTTCCAACATTTTTTCTCTTGATGTGTGTGAGCAGAGTTGCAGCACATCCCGAGGGAGCTGTTTGCTGCCGACCCCGCCCACTCCAGCTCCTCTGAGGCGTCCTATCGCTGCAGGAAGTGCAGGTGAAAGGTGGACGAGTTTACACAGTGGCTGAATGGAGCAAAGTTTTCTAATGATGCTCATGAGTTCATGTCAAAGACCTTGAATGTCATATTCTTACTGTATTTCTTTCATCACTTGGGCTTCAGCAATAATTGGCAGCAATTTAGGAAATACACATCCTGACTCCATCTCCGTACTCCTCCTCTGCAGACGAGCTCTGTTCCGTGGCTCCAGTATTCTCAGTCACCCTGTAGGAGAAGGAGCGCCAGCCTTTGGTCACAGGAAGTCCAGTGACCGCACTGGTAAGAACACAACCATGCTGTTTATCTAACTCATTTAGAACTGTGAGGCGGCACGCAGAAGCAGAGATCCAGCCCGAGGAGACAGGATTAACGTCCATCAACCTACTTAGAAATCATAAGAAAACAGGATGCTCCATACAACTGCAGAACATTTCATTACATTTGAAGTTTTCCTCAGTGATAGTTATGTGTACATCCATGGGTACACTGCAAAACTGCTCATAGCTAATTAGATAGTTTAAAGGTGCACATTACAATTATCCCCCAAATAGAAGTCTGGCAAATAATAGTGACACAAATCACATGAATATGTAAACTTTTGTTAAATGTTGTTTACCAACAATATTCAAATGTTCCAGAACATTTAGGAGCTGTTCTGTAGCTTTCCGTCATATCTCATGATCTTCATCAGCAGATGGAGTTTGCCAAATAGGACAACTTTCTTTGCACGGCAGCTGAATTCTCGCGGTATCACAAGATCACACTGAAATCCCGCTCGTGTGGTTTGGACCAATCGGAGAGCTGTGAAGACCTACCGGCATCTAGGGGTGTGGTTTAGGTGTGCGTGACGCAACTCGGAAAGGCAACTGTTAACGTTAAAGCAATAACGACGGTTCCCGAAGAAATACTGCATCAGTTCTATCAGATCTGGAGAGTTTTTATTCATTTAAAGAAGAGCAAAGAACGACACTGAAGGCTTTTCTCTATGTGGAAAAGATGTTACGATTATTTTGAGGTTTTTACATATACTTGCTTATGTATATGTACAGCATATATACTGTACATAACCTCTTTGGCGGAGGTAATAACAGCATTCTATTTTGGTGTCATGAAACGTGTTGTCTAGGAGAAGTCCAGTGTACGTCTTACTTCATCGAACCTGTGCAGTGGATGGAACAGGTTTTACTCCGAGTGATGGACGGACAGGTAACGCACACGCGCACACTGGTCAGGAAGTACAGATATTAATTGGTATAAAATAATTCCATAGGCATTCCCCGCCTGATCTGATCTTCCCTCCCTTCTTCTCTTGTGTGTGTGTGTGTGTGTGTGTGTGTGTGTGTGTGTGTGTGTGTATATAGCTGCTGTGTCCTAAGTGTAGCTCTAAGCTGGGCTCATTCAGCTGGTGTGGTGATCAGTGTTCGTGTGGTCGCTGGGTCACTCCCGCCTTCCAGCTGCACCGCAACAGAGTGGACGAGATCCGACAGCTCAACGTGCAGAAATAACATTTCATCACTGCAGGATGTTCATGTGTGACATTGTAAGTCAAGCCGGCTTGTACAGACACTTGCTTACTCACAGGAGAATTTCGTTTTTCAGAATGTCAGGTGGCCTTTCAAATGGACTGTTGCAAATTGCAATATTTTACAGATAGTGAATATTGGAATTGCGTTCATCGAGACAGAAGCAGGACTCCAAAGACATGATAATGTTGCTCCTTAAATGCGGGATGTATAAATATGCAACTGTTGGCTAACAAGCCATATCAACTTAAAAGATCATACTATGTCAATTTTGTGTTGATAGCTTGTTTCCGCTGCCCCCAAGTGGCCAAAATAAAAATCAGTTATTAAATATTTAAAGCTGCATTGACTGGTGGTGGTGGTGGTGGTGGTGGTTGTTGTTGTTTGTGGCCACTTGGTAAGCATTCAGTTGACTCAAGTGTCACTAAAAGAGAGTTTTATACCACGGCTAATATTTCACTGCAAGAAGGATCCCCATTAGAGAATTACTTTCCTTAAATCCACAGATTAGTGGGTGGCGGTTAATGCACCAAAAACCTGTTTGCCAACCGCCATTAAAAACAAAAGAAGAAGTAGGTCCCTGTCTCCTGCCTGAGACACTCATAATGGTTTTTGGTTGACATGGTTTGTTTCGACACTATACAACATTACACACTTTCCACTCATGCACTCACCTGCACTGCTGAAATTACTGATTTCACACACCACTGTTAGTTTAAGCTTGCCTTTTATGTTGCCTTTAAGTTTATAATTTGCGTTGTTGCGTGAGTCTCACTCGTAACTGTCGGTCTGTGACGAGGGTGCAACAAGAGCTTTCTTACATCTAGGGAATGTCCGTCACCACTTAAACCACCAAACCTCTCTTTGATTTTCTGCCATGTGTAGACTTCTCTTACTATTCTGACATGTAACGTAACTCAATCGAAACTTGTGCTGGTTCACGCGACAGCCACGCAATGCAAAAAGGAAACCCATCTTTATGATTCTTTTTCCAAGGTAACTGCAGATTCTATATAAAAATAACTGCCCACAAAATTAACCCTTTTGAGCAAGAAAACGGATAGGGGTCTGTGGTTTTAACAATTATTCTGTCACACGGTGCTCAAACAAAAAAATCACATTCTGAATCCTGCTTAGTGCACTTTTAATGGAGGCAAGAACAAGACTAGAGACGTAATGCAGCAGAGAAATGCCTTAAAAGAGATGATCCAAAACAATCAAGAGCAAAATCATTCATTCATAATTGTGTGTAATAAAAAAAAAAGTGCACATAACACTTCGTGTGACACTCATGACCTTTCGAGAGGTCAGGGCCATTAACCTACGCATGGAGAGCTTCGGAAACAAAGAGGTGGGACTCTATGGTTCAGCCTTCCAGAAAGCCAGGATCAGTGCCGGGTCCGATGTCCCAAAGACGCCCTGGTTGTCGTCGGGGGAGACCAGCTGAACCCAGATGTGGGACAGCGCATACCAAGCAGGGAACTGTGGCTTGTATACTCCTTACGCAGTGGTATAGGCTTGGTGAAGAAGATTGAGTGGAGGAGGCTGGGTGAGATGCCAAACAAGCCAAAGTTCAGGCATGGAGTAGCAGCAATGGTGGGAAAGTTTTGTGTTTGGAGGATGTTACTACTACGGCAAGGATGACATGATGAAATCTATCTTTATCTTCAGGTAAAAGGACAACTGGTGCACAGATATCTTCTCACTTTGAATAACCTACAGTGTCCCACAGATGCACAGACGGGGTCTGAACATTTCCATCTACCTTTTTTCTTTCATCGCACACATGCTATAGTTACGACCCCGTGCAGGACAGCTGGAAAAGGCTTGCTGACATGCAGGAGTTTAGAAGCAACTTCTCAGTGGTGGTACACGAAGAGCGTCTTTATGCCATTGGTGGTGATGAGATCAACACCAACCTAGAGATGTACAACCCAGACACCGACTCCTGGAGGTAAGTCGAGTCATGTTACGCTTGAAGTAGAACATGTTTCATCGGCTCATAGTGTGCGTCCTAAATCCTGTATCAGGGCGTATCGATGCCGAGCTTTACCATACCCAACATTACACATATCAGTGAATCTGTCACAAGAAGCAGTCGTATATTTAAAAAAAAAAAAAAAAAAAACCCAATGTTTATTATATAATATTGAACAAAATATCAAGGATGCAAGCTGAGTTCACTTGTATGTTGAGTCTCTTTTCCTCCATACAAATGCAATACCAAGTGTGCCACCAGATGTCCCCATTGTGACAACAATCACTTGAAAAGACTGAAATAGTGTTTCAGTGACTTGGATTTTTGACAGTGATTGAGTTAATGTTCATATGTTGATCTCGGGTTTTAAAAATATCTTTAACTAGCAGCGAGGTGTTTCATGCACAGCAAGCCAAAAACAGTTTAACACCACATTTGTTTCATCTTTTATTTTGACATTTCAACAATCCTCCAAAATGTTAAAATTTCACATGAGAAATTGCTGAAAGGAAGAAGAACACATTGAGACGAGACATGCGTCCCTAAATAAAAACCTCGGCATCTCAGTCTGTTCTAAAATCTACAATGTTGGGAAGATGAGGAACCCACTTATGTATTTTTCCACCCTTCCTCAGGATGACGTTGACGGTCTCTCCGACATTCAGCTGAAGGATTACCATTTTGCTGGTGGTGTCACTGTTATCTGAGCCGGGGAATTCCCAGGTGCTCACTTGGGAATGCCTGTTCTTCACCAGGATGGCGCCAGAAGTGTGACCGTTGTAGCCGAAAGTCATGAATGAAAAGTGGTAAACGCCTTTCAGTCGAGCAGTGAAGATGCCTGTTGAGGAGAATGCAATGACATCAATAGGTTAGAAAAACATTTGTCCTTACTTCTTAATACATTTCAGTTAGATGAGAAGATCGATACCACTCTTACGTCTGCATGTTAAAAATGAAGATAAAGCCATGCAGCTGGTTAGCTTAGCATAAAGATTACAAACTGGGGAAAACAATTAGCCACCTTCATTCTAAATGTAACAAAATCACCTCCCAACACACCCTAAAGCTTGATGGACTTATAGGCAACTTGTGGAAAAGCTTCAGAGGCCGTGGTAGGAAGATTTTGCCATGTTCTGACCAGATTACTAAATCAATGTTTCCCATATGATATCCAATAATATGGCGGATGCATTCCATTTTAAAGACACTTTCATAGCCGTTAATCATTGGTCAGTTTTCTGAAGGTTATGCATTTAGAACATAGCTGTTTTACAGTTGTAAGCCAACATTTGTGAAGACGCTGTTATAGATGAGAATATTGTTGGTGCTGTTCGTGC